TCCAAACCCGTAAGACCTTCGTTCATCTTCGGAAAACAAATTAAGATATTTTTGATGAAATGTGAGAGCTCTCAGACCCTGCATAGACAGCAAAACAACTGTAATGTTCCCAGACAGAAACATAGTAAGGACATCAGTAAAACAGTCCATGTGACATCAGTGGCTCAACATTAAGTTTTGCGAAGCTGCGAGAATACTTAATTTTGGAGAGTATCACAATGCATAAGCACGGTTTCTCCTAAGCATAAACAACGCTGATTACGCAGATTACGTTCATGAACACTCTTTCTCCCCCGAACGTAAACAACGCTGATTATGTTCTTGGATACTCTCCAAAATGGCGGAAGACGTAACTCGTAACTCGGGGGAGAAGAACTGTTAAATAAATTGTTATTTTTGTTTTCTTTGGGCTCAAAAAGTATTCTCGTAGCTTCGCAAAACTGAAGCTGAGCCACTGATGTCACATGGACCGTTTTACCGATGTCCTTGCTATGTTTCTGGACCTGGGAACATTACAGTTGCGTTGCTGTCTATGCAGGGTTTGAGAGCTCTCACATTTCATCAAAAATATCTTAATTTGTGTTCCGAAGATGAACGAAGGTCTTACGGGTTTGGAACGACATGAGGGTGAGTAATTACTGACAGAATTTTCATTGTAGGGTGAACTAACCCTTTAAGAGCTCTTTTAAGGGTTAAGATTGATTTGTGAGTAACTTTTATCTTAACTAGGATCCTCTCTTTAATTCTAATGGGAAACAACCATGTTTTCTAAGAATTTTGTCACTAGGAGCAACTCTTTGCACTAAGAATTTTCATGAATATGGGCCCTGATTAACGCTGAAGCTACTGATTCATCTGTGTTACTGGAGATTGGTTGTCCTCTTTTGTTTAAGATATTGGCTCATTCTGTATGTTGTTATAAGAAATGAGAACATAAGGTCAAAATTGTCCTTATTTTTGAAGTTTGGATATGTTTATATGAATGCGGAAATGAAAAAATAAATGAAAAAGAATGCTTTGTTCAGTATTTTTGATGTTCACGCACATTTGGGCCACATTCAAGAGCAGTCAGAATGTGACATAAGACATATGAACTACGTGACTGTCACGGAACCCATAGGTACACTTTCTATAATTCATGATCACCCAATGGACCCTACCTTCAAATGGTATCCGTCTTGAAAGCACTTCCCACATGATGATGGCATAACTGAAAGAGGAAGCACAGAACAGATGAGAGAATGGTTTCGCTGCTGCTGTAAAGTCTCTACATGCACTTCTGGCAATCCCCTTTGGAGATAAAACACACTGTCCTATCAGTGTAATAATTTCAACATGCCCTCTGACTAAGATCACAAAACCTCGGATATGTTGGCAAGTTGACATTTAGTTTCTATATCACTTCTCTTTTTGGACCATAGCAGTGAAAGAACAAAATAAAGCCCTCTTTCATGAGCAGTTTTGGTGAGCTATGATTAAACCCAGAAACTGGTTAATGTTTTTTTCCCCAGCCTCTCTCTTTGTTCTGGAAAATTGGTAAAGTATTATAAAAATCCACCCATAATTCCCAATATCCTGTACTGCTATATTCCTCCCTCCCAATCAAAGGGTTTGCACGTCTGTTAATCAATGAACTCCCATGACTTTTCCATTCACTTGTAACTTGGATAAGGCTTTTGGTTTCTAGTCGATAAAATATTTTAGAGATAAGAGTAACTAGAAAAATGTTTCCTGACTTTTCCAGGCCTGGAAATCACTTCAATTCCCTGACATTTCCAGGCTCACCATATGAACTCTGGAGATAAATTAATGGTGGAACATGTCTCTCATCTGACAGGAATATTGCTGAGTCAGCAACAGACTGGGGCCATGGTGCTATAAGGTCAGCTGAACGTCTTAAGGGGATGCCCCCCGAAAAATACAGGAACTGAAAGAGCAGTACTTTAAAAGCCTGTAGTAGAAATAATATGAAACTCAGAAGGAAGTTCACTCATCCTGTCAAAACTGGAAGCTTTATAAAATCTACAGAAACTGACCTGTACATGTCATATTTGACATCCGCTCTGCGGTTCTTGGAAGGTTCGTACTCCTCAGGTGGCATATAAATGACTGTGCCTCCCATTTCGGCAGGTTTGGAGCCGGACCCTTTAGTGATCGAGAGCTGGCGCCATTTAGACAAGCCAAAATCAGCTATCTATTCATAAACACACACATACAAGATGCACTTTAGATCAGAGAGGCCAATGTAAAGTTACAACAAACAGCTTCCTTCAATAAACAATTCCTTTCCCTGTAAAAAGGTGAAAGATCAGACAAGGGCTGTAGCTTTTTTTTCTGTCACTAGACAATATAATGAAATATTAATTATTGCGTGTTTGGATTCCCACAGCTTTTTTTCCCATTATCCATTCTTCCCTGGACTTTGTTCTACGAAAATCTTGACAATCTTGGCACAGCTCATAAACGACAACACTTTTATGTTGCTTTTGTGTCCTTTTTGAAGGCCACTCATTATAACAACACAGAAAGAGAGTATAAAAATTATATAGAAAGAGTACTGAAACTATATTCAATATTAAAATAAACAATATAGAATTCTGGACAATACTGATAAGCTGGTAATTATATTCACATTATTGGATTTGTATGATACTACAATTATTTTTCCCTGAATAAATGAAAACACAACAAACTAAAATCAATCATTTAAAATGCTACAATGAGTTTATATCGCCTCAGTGTTATAACATACAGTCACCGAAAAATGTTTACCAAAAAATGAAAATTCGGTCCTCATTTCTCACACTGGCATGGTTCTAAAACCATAAGACTTGCATTCATCTTCAAAACACAAATGAAAATATTTTAATGACATCGGAGAGATTTTTTGTAAGTCAATACCATAAAAATATTTTCATTTGTTCAAAGATGAAGAAAAGTCTTATGGGTTTGGAATGACACACCCACGTGTGAGAAATGACAACAATTTTCTTTTTTGTGTGTGTGTGAACTATCACTGAGTGATGGATGACAGCACAGATGCTCATTTCCACCATATTTCCCATTAATTATCCAATATCGGCTCATACTATGGTGGTCGAGAAGTGCAAAGCAAATCACAATTCTGAAAACAAAATAACAATTACAAACGCAAATGCAAGTCTAAAAAACAAAATAACAATTATGTATGTGAATATCACGCAGATGAAAAAAAAACTAAATCTCTAAAATAAGTGCATCCCTTGAACAGTGACAAGCACATTTTTCTGAATTTCACTTGGGAAAGAAACATTAAAGATACAGACACTAATAACATTCAGACAAAGATGGAGTTCAGCAAATACAGCTCAAATGACAACAAAAACATCAATAGTTGATCACCTTGACGTTCAAATAACTGCTTTCATTTGCAAGTTCCAGGAAAAAATATCTACTAATGCATCCAAACAGACATGTGAAAGTCGAATAAAATGGGGTATGGAGACATCTTCAAGCAAATCTGCACAAACCTTAACATGGTACTCCCCATCCATCAGGATGTTCTGAGTTTTAAGATCATGGTGTAGAAGGGGTGGTGACATATTGTGGAGGAAGTTTACTCCTAAAGCGATCTCATAAAGAATACGCAGCCTCAATGTCCAGGCCACCACTGGGTACATATCTTTCTGTAACGCAATAGGAAAATACAGAAGTGAACATTCAAGAACCTGTACGCCACAAAGTAGAAAGTGAAACTGTACATTACTCAAAGTGAATTGTCTATTACACTAATACTACTAGACAAAACAGGAAGGATGTCATGTAAAAGGAATGCTGTTTGTACAGTTATACCTCATGTAGAAGCTCATCCAGTGATCCATTGGTCATGTACTCAGTCACAATGCAGAAGAACTCGGGCTCATTACACACCCCAAAGATCTGGATGATGTGGTTAAATCGAGCTTTGTGAAGCACCTCAGCTTCCTTCAATAAACAATTCCTTTCCCTGTAAAAAGGTGAAAGATCAGACAAGGGCTGTAGCTTTTTTTTCTGTCACTAGACAATATAATGAAATATTAATTATTGCGTGTTTGGATTCCCACAGCTTTTTTTCCCATTATCCATTCTTCCCTGGACTTTGTTCTACGAAAATCTTGACAATCTTGGCACAGCTCATAAACGACAACACTTTTATGTTGCTTTTGTGTCCTTTTTGAAGGCCACTCATTATAACAACACAGAAAGAGAGTATAAAAATTATATAGAAAGAGTACTGAAACTATATTCAATATTAAAATAAACAATATAGAATTCTGGACAATACTGATAAGCTGGTAATTATATTCACATTATTGGATTTGTATGATACTACAATTATTTTTCCCTGAATAAATGAAAACACAACAAACTAAAATCAATCATTTAAAATGCTACAATGAGTTTATATCGCCTCAGTGTTATAACATACAGTCACCGAAAAATGTTTACCAAAAAATGAAAATTCGGTCCTCATTTCTCACACTGGCATGGTTCTAAAACCATAAGACTTGCATTCATCTTCAAAACACAAATGAAAATATTTTAATGACATCGGAGAGATTTTTTGTAAGTCAATACCATAAAAATATTTTCATTTGTTCAAAGATGAAGAAAAGTCTTATGGGTTTGGAATGACACACCCACGTGTGAGAAATGACAACAATTTTCTTTTTTGTGTGTGTGTGAACTATCACTGAGTGATGGATGACAGCACAGATGCTCATTTCCACCATATTTCCCATTAATTATCCAATATCGGCTCATACTATGGTGGTCGAGAAGTGCACAGCAAATCACAATTCTGAAAACAAAATAACAATTACAAACGCAAATGCAAGTCTAAAAAACAAAATAACAATTATGTATGTGAATATCACGCAGATGAAAAAAAAACTAAATCTCTAAAATAAGTGCATCCCTTGAACAGTCACAAGCACATTTTTCTGAATTTCTCATTTTTGTGTTCAGCAGAAGAAAATAATCATTCAAGTTTGGAACAACATGATGGCGGAACTTTTCATTTTAAGTGAACGATTACTTTTATTCTCACTCTAAACATTCCCCTGACTTTAAAATTAAAGTTTTCAACATTTCACTGCTTTACATGACTTTTCCAGGTTTTCTATGATTTTGATTGTGGACAAGAATCGTCTGACCTGCAACTCTTACAGTCAGTGTTTGCCCAGAAAGAGCATCTTATCATATTCTCACTTTATAGCGGTCACGTGACTAAAAATGCATTCAAACAAACATCTTGAACATTCAGTTCCCAACTGCAGTACCTTTAAAGCATGCCGTCTGATCGCATACTTCACGTGTGTACGTAAGCGCTGCATAAGTTTAAATCAGTGACCTTATATGCACTGTATACTTTCTCTTTTCTTCTTTTAAGCGTATATGAACGTTTACACATAATCACACATAGGCTAACTTTCACACACCTGCTGAAAATATCGTTATCTGGACGTTTGCTGTGAAATTTTATACACTATTCAGTACACATTTTCTACACAATTTGTGTTTATTTATTTATGTCGTTTATAATAATTGTATAAGGATCATGCGATAATATAATAGAGATTTATAATGTTTTATGATGTAAAATGGTCAGAGACGTCGGTCTGACCTTTGCACATGTTTTTGTTTCATGAAGGCTTCCAGGGTGATTCCATTATGATGTAACAAAGACAAGAGATTTTCCTCACAATAATATGGCACTGCATCCAGCCTGTTATAACAAATAGAGAAACTTTAAAGAAATTGACGCTGACATGCAATAGAAATTCAGCTAACCCTAACCCTTCCATAGTATGCAAGTCAATGGGGGACCAGCAATTGAAGGTGAACTATCCCTTTAATGGTGATAATAGTGGCATCAACAACCAAGTATATTATTATAAATCTGGTGTGTGTGTGTGTGTGTAGGAGGAAGTTATTTGGTATTTTTTTTTATGTAAAGTTACATCAGTTGCGGAAGAGAGATAACCATCTGAAATTTGAAACACCTAACTATAAAACTTCATGTCATAAATGTCACTGATTTTTAATGTTTTTTTTTTTTACCCTGACAGTGTCAGTCTGTATAGGGTGTAAGTATAAGTATACATTTATGAGTGACTTACTTTTCTGCAAGTTACATCATTTCGCCAGTAGATGGCGACAAGCAACTGTCTTTCTGATTGAGTCATTTAATCATTCATTCAACCGATTCAGCACCATATGTTACTCGAAAACACGGCAATTCATTCTGCATTGTTTGGAATTATTTTTGTTGGTGCAGCAAAAATAGACAATGTAACTGGAAAAAGTGAGTCTAATACGGTGTCTTACACAATATGAACTTGTATTATTTATTTATTGTTATAATGTTGTAAAAGCAATATCACACTCACATTTCTGATTTTGTTCTGAATATCGGCACAGTTGTGATGCCATCAGAACAACACATTCTTGCTTGTGATATTGTTTAATTATACTTGGTATCATTTAGCAATCGCATTAATTATTAAAGTCACCAAAAACGATGCTTTAGCTGAAAAACAAACCAAGTAGCAAATACATTCTGAATGTCATTCACGTAATGTAATACATTATTTTCCTTATACATTATATTCATTATTTTGTTTTCTTTCATAAAAAGTGACTGGAAAAAACAATAAGATTAAGAACAGTTATTGCAATCTTTTGACAACCCTAATCATTTTTTCCCTTTTTTTTTTATATAGGTTTAACAAAGCAAAATGGAATATTTTCAGCCCTCTTGAACCTCCTTGGCATTCACTGCATTAAATAGAGCTGAACATATTTCACTTCTGGACTTCTGGTTTATCATTAAAAGTTACAGACGTGACTTTTAATGATAAAAAAGTCCCCGTCCCCCCCCCCCACAGACACACAGAGAGAGAGACAGAGAAAAGCCAAACTACATTACAATTACATTACAGTTAACAAAAGCAAGTATGTAATGCATTCTAGATAAAATTTCGATAAATTTCGACTGATTTCTAGATATTTTTATTACTACATCTGCAGAGTCCATATTCATACACCAGACACCGACTTTCAATGGCTAACAAATCATATGAAAAATCAATAATGAATTACATAAGTGAAGTAACACAGTGGCTACTGAATTAAATACATTTTTAAACCTTGTTGTTACCATCTGGTGAATTTCAGAACCACTTCAAGTTCCAATGGTGCCATCTAGTGCCTACCAGTAAAACCCGCAGAGGGATTTCACATGTGTCCTGATGGATCCCAGCAGCGAGGTGTTCAGTTTTTTCCACACCTAACTTTTCCACTTTACATCAACAAAATGCAAAACAAAAGGCAGCCAAATGGTAACTTTTATGGTGTTGTGAACCCATTACACAGCAGGGAGGAAGAATGGACCAGTTTTAATTCTACATTAAATAAAGGCCTAACTACCTCACAAAACGTTCTTTTGATTCTTTGTCATTGTTTTTCATAGAACAATACTCAGATGTTTAATGATTCTGCAATACTGTTTCAGATAATTGCAATAAAATATAGCTAAAATAAAATAAAAGGGAAAAAATCTCCAAACATACAAACAGCTTTCATGGAATGGTCATTTTTATGCAAGGTTTTTGTAGATCCACATTTACCACACCGTACAAATAGCAATGACTTTAATTTTATCATACAAGAAGAAGGTGTGGTTTGGTTGTATCTCATTTGTGACCTGATTTACTTCTCTTAAAGAGATACACCACCCCAAAATGAAAATGTTGTCATTAATCACTAGTCGTTCCAAACCCGTAAAAGCTTCGTTCGTCTTCGGAACACAATTTAAGATATTTTGGATGAAAACCGGGAGACTTATGACTGTCCGATTGACTGCCAAGTAAATTACACTGTCAAGGTCCAGAAAAGTATGAAAGACATCGTCAGAATAGTCCATCTGCCATCAGTGGATCAACCGTAATGTTATGAAGCGACGAGAATACTTTTTGTATGCGAAGAAAACAAAAATATCTACTTTATTCAACAATTTGTCCCCTCTGTGTCTCTCCGCATCACCATTTTGGAGAATATCCGCTGGACACAAGCAGCGTACGCTATTCTGTGTCAGCCGCGACACAAGGATACGTTTTCTACGTGTATTTACGCTTTTATTTGAACGAAGATTATGGTTGGAAAGTAGACGGTAGGAATAGATTGTGATGATGCTGAGCGTCTTGTGGTAGATGTCTAGCAGTGGTAGTAGAGCTATAACTGTGATGGTCTGTGCTGCAGTGCTTTCTGAGCCTGCATAGAGCAATTGCCATAACATATAATGAGTTTGCTCTCAGCATGTCCAAATAATAAGACCATCCTTCCATTCAGAAGTAATAAGTATTGATTAGTTCACAGTCATAACTCGTAAATATACCGCTGGCCTTAAGGATATCATGTGCAAACAAAACTCTTGAAAATCTTTGTCAAATCCAGCAGCTAGTTCTACCTCAGAAGTGCTCATTGTAGCAGACAGTAAATATGATTTTGTCCCAGCGGGCTGATAAAAACCTGTGCACTCTGAACATTGTGTAAAGCAGAGAATGAGATTAGAGCTTACAAAAAAGGTTCTTGCTGTTTTTGTGTGCTGCAGACAGAGTGCATCACAGCGCACATTAAAGGGATCGTTAACCCCAAATGAAAGTCCTGTCATCATCAAATCTGTCATTGTGGACCCTGACACTCAGAGTCATTGACATCTCCACCGACAATTACCTTCTTTCTTCCTCAAAAGATGGCCAAGATCTGTGATCTGTTCATATTTGAAAAGCGAAACTGGCTTATAATCATATTCGTGTTCCAATTTCACCATCTGTGTTCCTCTTACAGTAATGTAGTTATTGAGGGATGTGTGGAGCTCTAGGCCACATGTGTGGATAATCCAGCACCCAAGAGCTGAAGCTTCAGTAAACAGGAATCCCATTTGGGCATATTTTCCCCCTTTTCTCTAGTGTCCTAATGCTGCAGCAGAGCAGAGGATGATCAGCGAGTCTGGCCGAGGTTCGGTGTACTGACACCTGCCAAAAGACCATATGCTCTCCTGTACTTCCCTGTGTGGATTTATGTGATCCGGTCAGTTGTCAACTGATCTGATACATTATCCTAGAAGAGGATAACAAGATTTCACACATCTGATTCACAGCAAATCCTCAGAGATTTCATATTTATTCTTCATACGTGCCGGCTGATTGGTGAACTCCCTGATAACTCATAGCAAAGAGAAAATGAGTTTTCCGACCGGTGTCAGTTAGTGAGCTTACAACAGCTCCTCGTAATGCACCGGTACGACAGCTTAGAGCAGACCTGTGAGAAAATCTTGTGAGAGATTGGGCACCACAGAGTCCTGAGCTCAACCCCATTGAAAGTCTTTGGGATGTGCTGGAGTCGAATTTACACTGCCTGTCTAAAAAGTTCCACTCTAATATTTCATTGGACTGCCTTTAAATTGGATAACATTGTGCTTTTGCTGTGGGATGGTTTTGACTATGTTAGGCAGCATCACAACATTTATTTCCGTCAAAAGTTGCATTCATTTTTGGCTGAGAAGTTGAATTGACAATGGGAGAGTTGAACTGCTCTTCAGTAGGGCTAAGATCTCGACTCTATGGGGTCCAATTCATACATGAAAATGATTCCTCATGCTCACTGAATCACACAATTTGGGTCCAATGAATCTTGACATTATCATCCGGAAATATGGACATGGGTATGTCAATACAGTGAAATAATAAGTGAAAGCACTGTTGTTAAGAAATGTGTGGAGATTATTTACTGTCACAATGTCACACTTTAATGGAAGGTTTGAGAAAACCATGCGGTAACAGAGTAACATTGCTTTCTCTTTACTGAAGTGAGGCAGTCAGAGAATTCTTATGTCTGGATGACTGACTTACAGCTTTTGACAGTATTAGAGACAGATGGGTAAGCTCACTCAGTTACTATAATTCTTTTGCATTCAGCCAAATATGATGCATCGGTTGTCTGGACACACCAGCTTTTACAACCACATCCCTGACCGCAAACAAAAATAAATAGCACAGTGAATTAATCCATTTCTCCTGCTGTGCCTACTGAAGGCCTTCTGTGAGACACTGGGAGGGACCAATTGTTGCTTTCAGAGAGACTTAATGGACGACGGGAGATAGACTGAGGCCCTGAGAAATGTCCTGCTGCACAAAGAGCTCCAAATTAGCCAGCCGGAGAGAACAAAGAAGTAATGTAGCAACATGACATATTTGTGGGTTGCTTAGGAAACAGGGACAAGCAGGTGGATTTTTAGTCTTCTATCTGAAACTAATGACTCCAAAATTATTCTTATACTCAGGAAAATGAAGTCTAATTGGATTAAATGCTGCACAAAATGCAGCCTGTACCAGCAACACTACTTGCTTTTAGTAATATCGAAGTGTCATGCCCATTTACATTTTTAATGCAATTTGTTTTATATTTGTATTAGATTAGCAGATTTTTAATGAAACATTGAGAATTTTTTTTATCTTTTAACCCTGTAAAGCCTGACACATGAACTAATAGTCAGAAAAAAATAGCATTTTGGAACTTTTCTTGTATCTAAAATTTTTTTGCATGTGTTTTTGTTGATTATCATATCTGATACATCAGACTTTTATGGCTCATATGTTACGATAATGGAGAATATGGACCTCATACTCAAGTAGGACACACCATTTATATTCAAAGGCCCAAACTGAGCAAAAATTTGGTGCAGATGCTGATATTTATATGGCCAAAATGTAAGATGAAATTCTGATAGCCTGTAATGTAAATCATTGATATTTAAATGCTTTCTTTATGAACAAAGCACTGTAGTTTTTATTGTATGGTGCAAAAATATAATTCAATCAGTGCAATTCAATGATAATTGAGCGATGAGAAAATAAACGTTCCTCAAAAGTCTGATGTATCATATTTGATACTCACATTTTAACATTATTTTTCTAAATTATGTATAGATAATCAAGTAAGCCTAAGTTGCTTAACGAGTGTTCATCTTGAAATATTACTAACAATATACATTTTATTCTTAGATTTACTTTATAAAAATCAGCAAATATTTTACAACGAAAAGGCCTGAAGGTGGACATTTTAACTATTAATCTAAAAGAACTAAAAAAGTGTAAACCATTAACCAGGCAATAGAAGGGATGTACAGTAGAAGATTATGTACAACAGGTTTTCAGAAAAAGTTTGATCATGTTGATAAGTTAGAGGCCTTTGCATGATTGCATGAATAATATTGTAGGTGAAATCCTCTCTCATGTCATGACATGAATACTTCATGAAGTCTAAGAAGACTGTACCGCTGGACTAACATATCACATGTTTAAACTTTTCCTTGTTTAACTCCATACATTGGCATGTATAGAACCCAAGAGGAGCTGAACAGAGAGTCCAGAGACGTTTTAACAGCACACAAATATAAAGAAGTGGAGAGAGATGATCTTAGGAGACCAAATAAAAGGTAATCATACGTGTTTACCATATAATTGATTCAATTTCCACTCAAGACTGTACCGCTGGACTAACATATCACATGTTTAAACTTTTCCTTGTTTAACTCCATACATTGGCATGTATAGAACCCAAGAGGAGCTGAACAGAGAGTCCAGAGACGTTTTAACAGCACACAAATATAAAGAAGTGGAGAGAGATGATCTTAGGAGACCAAATAAAAGGTAATCATACGTGTTTACCATATAATTGATTCAATTTCCACTTACTCCCTTTGCAATGAATCCTAGTTGAGTGTTATTATTTATATAAACATCCCATCATTTTACTGAGAAACAGGACGTGTCTTGGGAACATTTTGTCTTATTACACTGCTTGTATCTCTCTTCAGTTCTGAACTGGGGTTCATAAGGAGTCATGGAGCATGCTGGTGCAGATCAGCAACTGACAGTCCAGAAAAGCATAGATTCTATAGAGATTTTATAGGACATCTGAGTAAAACTCACACTTGGACTATAGCAGCCAAAGTAGTAATATCACTCGTTCTCCGATACAATCTTGTTTACAATTTTCTGTTTGTTACCCAGATTTTTGACTTCTGTTTTGGATTACTCACATTTGGGTATTGGCTTTGTGATTTGGATTGCAGAATAAATTGATACAGTCGGATCCTTCTGATTCATCCAGAGACATGATCACAAATGGGTCATCGAGCCAAAAACTGTAAAACTTCTTGGAAAAAGAGAAGGAACAAAAAATACTTCCACGTATTACTTATCTGGATGTTTTATTCATACATGTATCGTATGTGGTAGAGATTTTTTCTATCACATATTTGATAATTGAGTCAACTGTTCTAGTGCAACTGGTTCTGCACAACTCTTAGTTTCTGAAATCTGTTATATTATAGATACACTATATCTGTCCACACAACATGTAGAAAATGTCAGTGCTGACCAGCATGATCTTTCTGGTGAACCTGGTTGAGGTAGAAGCCTGGTTGGTATACTATGCAGCATCCAAAACTCAACATGAAATAGAGTTCTGCAGTGATGACTGAAGTTAACATTTCCCTGGTGCCCTTCACAAAAAACCCAATAGTATTTTCTTTATTGGCTTTTGGAGTATTGCAGAATATAAGCTTTCTGACAAACAAAAGCTTAAGGTTCTTACACATTCTGTTCATCATGATAATCTTCACAAATTAACACAACTCTGAAGCCTAAATATAATCACTAGAAGTAAAAAGCTAAACGAACGCTATAAACGAACTCCACGCTCACATGACTTCAATGTCACCACCTTTAAGCTTCAACTGTAATGAGGGGTCAACGAAGTGAGGATCCATGTGCAGCTTTATTAAATAGAAGAAGTCAGACAGGCAGGGCTCAATCACTAGCAAACAGGGATATCAGGGTCAAGGCAGGCAGCAAACAATACAAACGTTAGTCCAAACAACAGAGCAAAGAGTCCAAGGCAGGCAAAAAACAATCGATAAGCAGGTAATAGTCCAGGGTAAAACACGGTAATCCAATAGAGAAAAGTAGGGAATGCTGAGAAATATCAGCTGGGGCAAAACGAGACTTTGCTGTGTGTGTGCAGCTTAAATAGTCCGGGTAATAAGCAGCAGTTGTGCTCCAGGCAATGGGGTTATGGGAACTGTAGTCCAAGGGGCAATATTCATTATTTGGGTGAAGGTGCCCTCTGGTGCTGATCGGGGGGAACCGCAGAGGCCTGATTCATAACAGAGCCTCCTCCATGCGAGCGGGAGGTATGCGACACCGAGGTCTTCCGAGAGGGCGAGGGACTGGTTAATCTGGATGGGTCTGATGGAAGTCTGTTGTAAATTAGGGGTCGAGGATGTCCTCAGAATTGACCCAAGAGCGCTCCTCCGGTCCGTACCCCTCCCAGTCCACAAGATACTGAAGAATTCTTCCCCGGCATCGGGAATCCAGGATTTCTCGCACCTGGTAAGCCTCCTCAGAGTCTATCATGATCGGAGGGGGTCCCTGGTCCCGGGCCTTCTCTAGGTCATTCACTCCTCTTGGAGCACCAGTGGCCTTAAGCAGGGAGACATGAAAGGTGAGTGAGGTACGATATTCCGGTGGTAATGCTAAACGATATGAAACAGAAGTCATTTGTTGGATGATTTTGAATGGACCCACGTACCTGAGACTGAGTTTGTGTCAGGGTAGGAGACGAAGGTCACAAGTGGAGAGCCAGACCCACTGGCCAGGAGTATATTCGGGGATAGGGTGTCAATGACGGTCAGCACGTTCTTTCTGTCTTCTGGCTTGCTGACGATGAGTGTGAGCTTCATTCCAGATGGCCTCACTCCGTTGAAGCCATTCATTGACTGTGGGAAGATCTGAGGGTTCACCCGACCAGGGGAATAATGGAGGTTGGAAATTTGTGAAAGTGAAGTGCGTGTGGCCAAGTATGGTGACCCATACTCGGAATCTGTGCTCTGCATTTAACCCATCCAAGTGCACACACACAGTAGTGAACACACACACATCGTGAACACACACCCGGTGCAGTGGGCAGCCATATTGCTGCGGTGCCCAGGGAGTAGTTGGGGGTTCAGTGCCTTCCTCAAGGGTCTCACCTCAGTCGTGGTATTGAGGGGGGAAGAGAGCGCTGGTTATTCACTCCCCCCACCGACAATTCCTGCCGGACCTGAGACTTAAACCTGCAACCTTTGGGTTAAATTTACATTTAGTCATTTAGCAGACGCTTTTATCCAAAGCGACTTACAAATGAGGACAATAAAAGCAGTCAAAACTAACAAAAGAGCAACAATATATAAGGGCAAATGTCTCGGTTAGCCTAACGCAGTACACGTAGCAAGGTGTATATACAGTATATATATATTATACACACACACACAAAGAAAAACAAGTAGATAGAATAGAAAAAATAGAAAGCTAGTGTTTGTTTTTTGTTTTTTTTGGTTACAAGTCTCTAACCTTTAGGCCACGACTGCCCCCAATTAGCACACATTGGGTTGTGAGTCCAGTTGACCGTTTCAGGAGAGAGTTCTGAGCATATTCTGCCCAAAACAGATACCTACTCCAATCGGTTTGATTGCGGTGGCAGTATAAGTGTAGAAAACAGGTCATTTCTTGATTGAGACATTCAGCTTGACCGTTGGATTCAGGGTGGTAGCCAGAGGTGAGACTTATATTGACGTTGAGATACTTCTGACTTGTTACTTGTTACCACTTGTTACGATCCCATCCCCAGTCTAGGGTTGGGAGTGGGAGTAACAGGTTAACTAAAACTTATACAGAAGAAATCAATAAAAATGTGGAGGAATCACTCCAGTCCTCTGCTCCAGAAAAATGCAAAAACCACCTAGTTTGGCAAACTTAATTTATTTAGGAAAGCCAGAATTATGGAAGCAATAAATGTCTTCAGGAGAGAGCCTGGCCAAAACAACCAAAATAGCAGGTGACTAACAGGAGGAGTACTAAATAACCGGTTTGAGTAAAAGAAAAGAAATCAACAACATAAGCTTTCCGCATGCATCAATGGAGGTTTGGCAGTACAAACTCATCTGCCAAAACTGCAGCACTAGCCAACGACGTCACTTTTTGTTCATTTAAGTGTACGAAAATCTTTGTAGGAACACAATTTTTGAAGTCCTCTAACAAGATTAGTTCCTGCAAGTCCTCCTGGGAAGTAACCTTGCTAGCCAGGCACCACTTTTCAAAAAGAACCCTCTTCTCTCTTACAAATTCAACATAAGTTTGGTTGACTGTTTTCGAATGAGTGCGGAATTTCTGTCTATAGGCCTCGGGGACAAGTTCATACGCTCGCAAAACTGCAGATTTAACAATGTCATAGTCAAGAGAGCTTTCTATAGGAAGGGCAGAGCAAACTTCCTGTGCTTTCCATGTAAGGCTACACTGGAGTAACAGAGCCCACATATCTTTTGGCCACCTTAACTTACCAGCGACACGCTCAAATGCAACAAAGTAGGAGTCGACTTCTTTCTCTGAATGGGGGCACAAGTCTTATATACCTACTAACATCAAAACTATCCCTGGATGGCCAATGAGAAAAATCCTGCGTGTCTGTACTACCAGCAGATGTTAAGGGTGATGAGACTGATGGGGGCCTAGCACGGGGTGATGGAACTGGCCTTTGAGCCAACCGCTTTGATTCGAGATCCAATTTACGTATTTGGATATCTCTGTCAGCCTGTGTCTCTACTACACGAAGCCTAATCATTTCTGCCTCACACTCCTGTTTTTTAATCAAAAGATCCATTTCCTTCAACTTTAAGGCAATCCTCGGATCATGAAGCACAACAGAGTCGAGATTCACATTTTCAGCTGCAGTTTCCACTGCCACTTCAGACTGAACTTCAACACCACCCTCAGACTCCTCTGGTAAAATACCTGCCTCTACCAATTTCCCAAACAGATCCTCCTTAAGCACTTGTTTTCTAACATCTTTTCGAACGTCAATACGGAAGAACTCTGCCACCAAAATAAGATATTTTTTCTTGCAACGATTAAAGGCTTCAATTGTAGGACAAAGAGTAAATTCAGTAAAGTCAAACTCCATTATCCGTATGCCTGCAACACTTTCCTCCCCACCTACAGTCGAAAACAGTCAAAAATTTGAGAGAAAAGAGCACTTACCAACAAACTATTAAGAGAAGAGCGGACAAGCCCCCACTTGTTAGGTAGAAGGCTGTCCACACACGAGAGGTAAACTGGGGTCCACAATCCGAGACGATATCCTCCGGTAATCCATAGAACATTGATAACTCTCTTCACTAAGAGAGCTTGGTTTACACAAGGTATGTACCAGTGCAACATTTTTGGGCTTGAAAGCCACCCTCTTCTGTTTCCAAGCCTTACAGTCTGAAATCAAATGGTTCGGATCCAGGCAGAAAAAACAAACGCGCCTTTCATCACTGTTCAAAACCTTCCGACTAAATTTAGATAGCGTCTCACTTTTAGATGGGTGCCCAACAGGCGGGGCACCCAAGCTTTCCACATGCATCAATGGAGGTTTGGCAGAGGTGTGCGTGGAGAAGACATTCCTGTGTGTCAGTACAAACTCATCTGCCAAAACTGCAGCACTAGCCAACGACGTCACTTTTTGTTCATTTAAGTGTACGAAAATCTTTGTAGGAACACAATTTTTGAAGTCCTCTAACAAGATTAGTTCCTGCAAGTCCTCCTGGGAAGTAACCTTGCTAGCCAGGCACCACTTTTCAAAAAGAACCCTCTTCTCTCTTACAAATTCAACATAAGTTTGGTTGACTGTTTTCGAATGAGTGCGGAATTTCTGTCTATAGGCCTCGGGGACAAGTTCATACGCTCGCAAAACTGCAGATTTAACAATGTCATAGTCAAGAGAGCTTTCTATAGGAAGGGCAGAGCAAACTTCCTGTGCTTTCCATGTAAGGCTACACTGGAGTAACAGAGCCCACATATCTTTTGGCCACCTTAACTTACCAGCGACACGCTCAAATGCAACAAAGTAGGAGTCGACTTCTTTCTCTGAATGGGGGCACAAGTCTTATATACCTACTAACATCAAAACTATCCCTGGATGGCCAATGAGAAAAATCCTGCGTGTCTGTACTACCAGCAGATGTTAAGGGTGATGAGACTGATGGGGGCCTAGCACGGGGTGATGGAACTGGCCTTTGAGCCAACCGCTTTGATTCGAGATCCAATTTACGTATTTGGATATCTCTGTCAGCCTGTGTCTCTACTACACGAAGCCTAATCATTTCTGCCTCACACTACTGTTTTTTAATCAAAATATCAATTTCCTTCAACTTAAAGGCAATCCTAGGATCATGAGGCACAACAGAGCTGAGATTCACATTTTCAGCTGCAGTTTCCACTGCCGCTTCAGACTGAACCTCAACGCCACCCTCAGACTCTTCTGGTAAAATAACCGCATCTACCAATTTCCCAAACAGGTCATCCTTAAGCACTTGTGTTGTAACATCTTTTTGAATGTCAATACGGAAGAACTCTGCCACCAAAATAAGATATTTTTTCTTGCAACGATTAAAGGCTTCAATTGTAGGACAAAGAGTAAATTCAGAAAAATCAAACTCCATTATCCGTATGCCTGCAACACTTTCCTCCCCACCTACAGTCGAAAACAGTCAAAAATTTGAGAGAAAAGAGCACTTACCAACAAACTATTAAGAGAAGAGCGGACAAGCCCCCACTTGTTAGGTAGAAGGCTGTCCACACACGAGAGGTAAACTGGGGTCCACAATCCGAGACGATATCCTCCGGTAATCCATAGAACACAAAGCTGCACAAACTCTCTGCAGTCTCTAGAGCTGTGGGCAGCTTGGGTAGTGGTATCAGACGACAGGCCTTGGAGAAATGATTGATGACTGTTAGTATGGTGGTGTTGCCCATGGAATTAGGTAGGTCAGTGACAAAATCTATTGCAATGTGTGACCATGGCTGTTGAGGGATAGGTAGGGGTTGGATCTGTTTGGAGAATTTGGTGGTATTACAGATGATGCAGTGCTGGACATATGAGATGGTATCTGCCTGAAGCGTGGGCCACCAGAACTTGTTGGTGATAAGTAGGATGGATGCAGTCAAACCTGGGTGACTGGAGCTGGGCAGGTTGTGGACATGCTGAATAACCTGTTTACGAAGAGCTGAGGGAACATGTTAGGTGGACATTCAGCGGTAGGTGGCTCAAATTTTTGAGCCCCAGCTATTTCTGTCATAATGTCCTATTGAACTGGAGCTACGATGAGAGTGGATGGTAGGATGGGATCAGGAGAGAGAGGTTGAAAAGCAGACTCAAGCCGGAGATGTGGAGGGACAAATGAAACCCTTGGCTAGTTCCTCTTCAATATAAGTTTGCATGGCCTCAGACTCAGGCTGAGATAGGAGAAAGATTCAACCCTTGGGAGGAGTTGTACCAGGAAACAATTCAATAACACAGTCGCTTGGTCTGTGAGGTGGTAATTGGGAGGCTTTAGCTTTACTGAATGCCACGGCCGGATCTGCATACTCCACAGGTAGACTGGGCACAATGGGGGATTCGACATGAGGATGGTGGCTGCCTGAAGAGTACACAGTTCAACAGCCTGTAGACAGTGTTGATGACAGTGCTCATACCATTGTGATTTGTCCAGTAGTCCATGAAATCTGAGGATCATGAAGTTGAAGCCAGTGAAGTCTGAGAATTACTGGGTTACCAGGGGATTGTATAATGTAGAAGTGAATGGTCTCAGTGTGCAAAGCACCAGTGGTGATCTCGTTTTGTAGTGTGTTGGAATTGACCAGCACCCAGGGGTCTCCCGTCTAGCACTGTCACTGCCAACAGGGATTTACAAGGAATGAGGTGAAATGCCCTGGGCTTTCACAAAGTCAGAATCAATAAAATTGCCAGCCGTTATCAGAATCTATCATGGCCGTGGTTTTAATAGATCCTTTATGAAAAGACAGTTCAACGGGTACTTTAACACATTTGTTAGTATGAGGAGGAAAACTCACCGCCGTGGAGGATTGCTGCATGGGTTGTGTCAGGCAGGAAACCTTCATATGACCAGCTTGACCACAGTAGAGACATAGGTTATTGTGCATGTGGAAGAGAAGTTTAAGGGGGTCATTGAGCCAGCCTGTCTGAGCTGCCAGCGTGCGGAAATTTAAAGCGAACTCTGTTGCTGTACTTCTCCTGTCGAAGTGTTAGAAGTTGATCACGCGTGCCCACCTCTTCAGGATGTTCGAACACCTCCTTAAAGCATTGAAATAACCTCAATAAAAAAAAAAATAAGGCAAGCTCACATCATGTGCTGGAAAAACATGAGATTTTTGAGTTCTGATTGAAATCTCTGACTTTGGGCAAATCGTTCAGAGCCGTAGAGTATTCAACCCTGTCACGTCTGGTAATTCACCAACAAAGTTATATAACCTTTTTTCTCCCCCTTTTCACATGTCAAATCAAAAGCCCTGGTGTATAATGAATTATATTGTATGCCATAACTGCAATTACTTCAGCACATTATCTTTGATATCAATATCAATTGGCTCAGTGTGCTGCCAGATTAACAAAGTCTGACTGAGGGAAACAACAAAACAAGACAATGTTTTTTGTAAATGATCTGTGAGCAAATTCTAGGAGATTAATATTTAATTATTTTGACTTTTTTTAACACAGAGCGTGAAATAATACATCCCACTGCCCTTGAACATTCTGAGGTTTCCTTGAACAGCTCCTTGGCAGACATTGAGACTACCAGAAGTGTATACAAGGAAACATCTGTAAGTAGTCTTCTTGTAATCTTTATGCTCTTTGTAAACACTGAATCCACTCAGAATTGATCATGAATCATCTCATGAATCAATTCTATGAATCATGTTTTTAATTGGATGCGTTTGATCGGCCTTGTGTCTTGCATTTTCCTTTGATACAATGTCACATGCAGTTTACAGACACATGCATTTATGGTCTGCACTTTCATATAAAACATTAAACATATTCCACATAAAAAAGTGAAGAAAAAAAAGCAAACTCCACAAAGTGATGTGTATTATATTTCATGATTACTGATCTGGTGGCTGAGATTGGTACTGCATACTGATTGTTAAAAATTTCACAGAGAAAAAAAAAATACAGAAAGAAAAATCGAAAGAGAGTGAGTTTTTTTTTTACAGAGGAAAAAAAAAGAATTTTGTTGAAAGATAAAACTTAATTGAATTAGAGAGATCAAAAACTAATGTAGGAAAAACTACAAATATTATACACAATTTTTATAAAATTTTCCTCACCTTGCGATTCAGGGCTTGCTGTCATTGATCATAAAATCAGATAGCTTTGCCCCCATACTCACACCATTGGTTGAGCCAGTGTTGCCATGTCAAGCTGTTCAGGATGTAATTCAGGCAATAAGGCAATTGCTTTTGTGGCAGGTCTGTTTCATATTATGTACACTAATGCAACAATAAATGTAACAAAACACTAAGCACATGTGTAATGAACAAAAGCATGAATTCAGATATGTCTTGCAACAGAGCAAGACATATTCTATTTCCATATAAATCTTTTTTTTCTTCACATATCTTAAGTTTTCTATTATCGTTTTTCTGCTTTCATTTCACTTATGACCATATAGTTTGCAATGTGTGATATTTAGCATTAGTCCAACTCCTAAGCTTTTATCAGTGTGAAAAGGCTAGTTGCTTAGTAACGAAATAAGAAGAACAATAACAATGTGTAAAAGTGCACCTCTAAAGCCAAGAAACTAGCCACAGACATTTTCAATCCAACCTGTTCTGGACCATTTGCTCTTTCCTGAGGCTCAGTATGGGCAAACAAAATGCAAAGCTAAATTCTAACCCCAAGACAATTACCTTCCAGACCATCATAAACAAGACACCTAGTCTGTCCATGCATGACCCAAGTTATGGTATGAATCAAATCAGATCAAACCAAAACAAATGGTGGATTGAGCAGCATGAAGAACTGGAGGATGTCTCCATTCACATTACACACCTGTCAAGTCAGATTGAATGTTTGGACAAAACATTCACAAGTCTGCTTCAACTGGAGGCATAAGCACA